AGTGAAAGAATCATTTTAAATTGCCTGTTTGAATTTAGTTGATGGGATACGTGCAGTGAAGTGTGGATTTACCTGCCTGTAAAACACACAGAGCGGTGGGTGAATTACATCCTTGTATAAGCATAGTCTATGGAAATGCATGCTTTAATTAAGAAGCAGGGCTGATTTCCAATGAGTTTGCTTTTTAAAAGGATAATATCCCAAGAACAGAAATTGATCTTCCTTTGAAAAAAAACTAGTAAGAGTTTTATTTTCACTTAAGAAAATATTTATTTTCATAAAAGATCTTAGCAATCCTTCTCATGTTTCTGCATCCGGGCATCTCAGGTACAACTCAGCACTGAACAGCAGAAAGATGATGTTTTCCTTAGTTTCCCTTCTCTTATCAACAGTAAACTGCCCTCTCTTCTGCCTTTTTCCATTGTTTCAGTACATTTATCCCTGGGATAACTGATTTTCCCCCTACCGTTGAATTTCACAGTACGAATGATTGGTACCGTTACTTGACAGTTTGTGAGGAAACATGCCAGAGATGTTTTCTTTGTCTGTTTCCTGATGCACTGATGCTAGGTTCTGGGACGTTTCTGTGCTGTAGACCTCAACACAGATGTACAATTAGAATAAAAAATAAAATTAAGTTTGACAAGGATTAATGTTTCTCCCTGTGTGCAGGAGCAAGTTTTTTTTTCAGTTTACCAAAACAATATTAAATGACTTGAAGTCTGAAATAACAATCTCCCAAAAAAATGAAACGTGTTCTTTTTTGTCAATCTGAAAACGAAACCATTTGTTTCTGTTTAAACAGGATATTTAGTTTCGTGCTTGAGACCAGCCAATCACAAAGTCAAGTCAGCCAGTTCTATAAGCAGCTGCTGTCACACTCGGTTGGCTGCATAATTTTGGGAAAGTAAAAATTTTCCTCCTAATGTTGCAGAAGGAATCTCCACAGCTGCCTTTCTAGCTGTCTCTCCAGATCCCAGACTGTGTGGTTACCTGAGTCTCACACCCAGAGCAAACCGGGTTGGATAGGCATTCAGTGAACGGAAAAGATACCAAATTAGTATTAATAGGCAAAATGAAAGGTGCTGATAATTTTTTCTTTGACAGTAATTTATTTAATAAAAAAACGTTTAATTGTGGCATTTTAAATATATATATATTAATCTGTGTTGTTTTATGGGTGCCTCTATTGAAGATCTTTGAATTTAAACATTTAAACATTTAAATGATTTATGTATTTAGTTTATCTGTAGTAACAGAGCGCTCAGACGGAACAGAAAACAGCAGAGAGAATGTCTAGATGTCTAGAGAACTGGGTGTGGGTGACTGTCCTCTGGGGACTCTTAAATCAGCTTCCTGAAAGATATACACTTATCCCTCAATTTACAAACACCTGGTTTCAGAATTTTGGTATATCAAAGTTGTGTCCTTTGTAGCCAAACGGAAAACACCATCCTCATAGCGTGACCTCCCAGTACAGCCTCCCACAGCAGTTTCTCAGTGCATATGCCATAGTTTATCTGGTCTGTTTATCTTGTTCACTATCATACTAAGGTACAAAGGGTAATTATCCCGAGCAGTAGTTTTCTTACTTTGATGATTCAGTGCTCTGTTAGGGTAATGATGAGAAATATTGGGTTGTATTCTAAAATGTGGTAAGTAAAGAAATGGGAATTGTGATTTTTGTTACACATTTTCATTTTCTGCACAGGTTTTCGAGGAATGGATTTCTTTTGTAAACTTGACGGTTGGGTGTATATGACCTTTTACAACTTAGTGGTTATTTGTATTAGGAAGGCAAAGTTAGTGTGGTAGAACATGTTTAATGAGTCTGTCTTTCCTTGAGAGAAGAGGTTGGCCATAGAAATAGTTCACACCTGTACACGTCAGTGTGTATTTTATGGGGAAAGTGCTGGTAGATCCTGGAGAAAAGAAACACCTTTTTCAAGTTTGTACCATCTCTCTACATCTCTACCCCTCCTCAAGAAACTCTTCCTCACAGCTCATTCTTTGGAACAGTACAATACTTCAGACAGGCTTGAGTGAGTTTCCCCTCCTGTTTCACTTTCACAAGTCCGACTGGTGCTGTACAGAGCTCTGCAGAGTGCTGTAGCTGTTACACTGGAGGAGTCATCAGAGCACCGGAAGTCATGGGCGGCCCTATGTTGCGCAGTCGTCAATATGGCCCAGTTGCAGGCCACTGCTCTCACGGTGAACCCAAAGAAACATGAAACAGGAGGAGGCCTGCTTCTAGGCAAGCCAGAGAACTCACAGCTCTCTCCTGGTGGATATTAAAAAGGCCTCAATCTGTTTCACAGATGTAGGGAAGAATATTGAAAAATGTTCGCCTAACCTCGAAAAAGTCATTAAAATCTATTGTCTTTCTTTGCATTTTCTATGTTTTATTTATAAAGTACCTTTGTAGTATGGATGTGCAGTTGATTAAGAGTTCGCCGTTGCAGTTTTTAATTTAGAAAGAGAAGTGAATGCACTGCAGTCTACAGAAGGAGCAACCCAGTAAGAAGTGATGCAAAAGGACCACTTCTCCTCAGCATAAGCTTGCGTTGTTATTCAGCTGGCATCCATGTATTGGAAAGGTTTTCAAGTTGTGAACAAAACACTGTTTGAAGTTCTCCAAGAATAATTTTTTAACTACCCTTTTAGTCTACTTTTTCTGGATTATGACACTCCCTTACAAAGGTGCTGGCAATCCAGCAAATTATACCACTGAAGCAGAAAAGCTATATATGTTTCCTGATAATTTTTTCTTGATATGTAGGGTTTTCCTGATGTTAGTCAGGCAGGGCAGCCTGAACTGTTTTAAATGATGGTTCTCTACCTTAACCCTAACCCTACAGCATCACTAATTTCCACAGAAAAAATGTCTTCAGAGTCAACAGTGAAACACAAATCAGAGAACATATGTAGAAACTTTGTTGGGAGTGTATTTAAAACTGAATACAGGAAGCTGTTTTCTTAACGGGTTGTGGGAATAAGGAAGCTACCGAACTACTGTATGTTGTTAAAGCTACTATCCTGCTTTCTCTTAAGAGATAGCTGGATGCGATCTGTGGATCACTTCACTGCTGCAATCTAAATGGGCCAAATGGGCTCTCTTGTTTGTAACTTTCTTTGTAATCATCTTGTATGATGTCTTTTTGATTTAAACAAAGACAACAAACATGAAATATCGAGCATCTGACTGTGGCTTCAGGAGAAGAGCCCTACAGCTTGTAAAAGCCTGTCAGAGGGAGTTCAGTTTCCAGAGCCTGGGTCTTCATTGTCTACCCAAACTCAGAGTCAGTTTTACTTGCTGTGTCTTGTAACATAACTGCATGTGTAGTGCATATTGTTGAAGGATTTGTTGTGAAAAATCATTGTTTCATTAGACTCTGAATTGCGACAGCAGAAGTTTATATACAAATCCAGATATTATCAAGGGAAGAATATGTGGTTCCAAGGCAGCAAACAAACACCGGCAATATACTGAAGAGCCTGAAGTGAGAATAATGCTCTTTGGCATGCTTGTATCTTCTTCCTTGAATTTCAGTTGAAACCCTTGAGATGGTGGCTAGATTTCTCCCAACTCTTGTAGCTAAATTATGTACTGCAAATGTTTTTTTTATCTTCAGATTTATGACTGTTACTTTCAAAGTTCCATCTTTTTGATGTACAGAACACATACTGATTCCCAGAGGTTTTTTGTTTAATGTAGTTATTCTCTTGCTTGCATAACTTCTGCAAACTTCATTTGAATTTCATCTCTTTGCTCAGGTCTATTTTCTTTTTCTGTTGTGTTGGCTTGTTTTGCTCTAAGCAAAGCTGCAGAACCTAATGCTACACCCATGTTTAACAGTAGTACTGAAATAAAAGTATTTTCTCTTATCATATTAATGGTTAATAAACAGTTACTCACTTTATATCCCTTCCAACAGTGTGAAAGAGTCTAGAAAAGAAGTTGAAAAGTCAAAGTACTGTATTGCACTCAGATCTCTGGAAAATCCATCAGGAATAGTTTATTTGTATAACATTTTAGAATATCCTCCTTACTGTGCAGTTTCATGTCAAAATAATTGCTTTTTAAATGTTTTCTATAAGCCTCCTATAAATCTGCATGAAAGTGAATGGATGTTAAGGGATTTAAACTTTCAGCTTTGTAGGTGAAGCTTAATATGTGTCTATAAATCACCACCACCTCTTAAACATTGTGATTAAAATTGTAGGTCTGAGAATTCGGAGCGACTTTAACTGGAATCAGGCTAATCCTCTTGCATCTAAGGTTTCATTCCCAACCTTATAAGTAATAAGAATAAGTAATGAGAACATCTTTATCTTGGTAGTATTTAGACTAGTAAATGTTTTCATATCTCATTTGCAAAATGTAGGATCTCTTAATGTCTCCTACAGTTATGAATAGTCCAACTTTAGCTGTATTTCAAAATGAACAGAATGACACCCAGTTTGAAATGAGGGAAGTTTGTCCATGACTTCAGAGTCTATGGATAATGAGGGAGTGCAGACCAGACTCCAAACCACTGTCAGGCCCCATGATTCCAGTTAGGGCACTGAGATCCAGTTCCTCTGCAATGCCATTGTTAGGTCCAGCTGTTCTCTGTGCTGCCCTCCAGTGGTGGAATGACCTACCGGCCACAGTCGGGACTGCAGATTTACTCACCATATTCCCAAAGAATCTGAGAACTCGTATATGCACGATATTCCCAACGCCAGAGGCCCGTGACTGACCCTCACTTATGGACTCTGCCCTTATGTTACTACTTCCTGTCTGTCAAGCAGCACTGAGAGTCCTTAGTACTGTGCCACATCTTGGCACTTAATTGATACTGAGCTCACTGTTTTCTATGGTTTTATTTGCCGTTTTGATGCTACTCTTACTCTAATTCATTTTGGATGAAAGTGTCAAATAAAATAAAAGTCCATGAGTGCTAAGGCCCTTGTGCCGGTGATAAAGTGATGGGGCTGATTCCGCGTCTCATTTTCAGGACTGTGAGGACGTGGGATATTAACAACGAGAAGAAGCACAAGAGCGTGTTCAAGCCCCGCTCCATGCAGGGCAAGAAAGTCACACCCACCTGCTGCACTTACAGTCGGGACGGCAAGATGATCGCGGCTGGATGCCAGGACGGCACCATCCAGATCTGGGACAGGAACCTCAGTGTGAGTAGTACTTCCGATTTGTCTAACTGGCTTACTGTTAGTACAAGTGCCCGGTAGGGCTCAGGCACACAGAGTGGAGGATCTTTGCGAAGGATCTCAACAGTGGAACGGTGAAGGCAGGATAATAAGGATTGTCCGAAGAGTTGGATAAATGGTCGTAATCCAAGGGGATTTTGTCATGCATGCATTTTGTGATGAAGCAAAAAATCTCAATGTCCCAAAGGTTAGTATTTTGCATTAAGGTCTATGCAGTAGGTTTGCAAATCTAGTTCTTCTTTAAGACAGGAGTTAATACTTCTTGGTTTTGTTTTTGTTGGACTGCAGTGATTGAGGATGATTAGTTTTGAATTACCTTGTGCTGTTTTTGTGCATGATTGGCTATAGTCCGACTCTGCGGAGTCAACCATTTGTAATTACGTTTCCCTCACTGCTTAGAGGCTTTAACAGACTTTTCAGTAATTAACGGTCATTCAAAATGCAGTTTTGTGAGGGTCGTTTAGCATCTTAAAGCTAGCAGAACGTTTTTTTTTTAGATCTTTTAAAAGTTCGTAGTAGTGTTTTCCTTTTGGGATGGCTGCAGCCACTCACATCAGTTCTGGGAGCAGGATGGTGCTGTGTTTTAGATCTTCCTGCTGTGCAGGGTCATCAATCACTGGTAGACCAGGGCATGTTCTGTGTCACTTGTCAAAATCCTGTGGCCGGAGAGCCAGGGGTCAGCTTTGGTGAAGAATTACTTGTTCCGTGGGTGTGAAAACAACGGTTAACAATACATCTTGGCTGGGGTGATTGTCGCAGGAGCATTGATGCTGCCCAGGCCTGTAGACTGTGGGGAATGGCAAGGTCAGACTCTGAAAGGATTTTACGCTAGGCCTGGGAAACTGTTCTTTAAAGATGTAACATACCTGTATTCAGATTTCTTTCCCATGAGTGGGTTAGAATGACTGACTGAGGTTACATAGAAAAATTAAAAATCATTTGTGATGATTAAACAGTCCTTTGGGAAAAGAGACTGACGTGAGAGGAAAGGGATCTTTCATACACACACATTGACATGTTTTCTTTATTAGTTATGTTGAGCAATGCTGTGTGACTAAAATTTTAGTCTGACAAGTATGCTCTTATTAGACATGTCAGTGCACACAATACACTGGTACTACCTTTGTTTTCCAGTTTACATGGAAGAGTACTTAACTCAAGAAAAGCCTAAATTTTTCTAACAACACATTTTTTCCAAAAGTTTTTTTTGACCATCTGCTTGTGATTGTAAAGCACCAGCAGCTCACTGGTGCTTCATGTGCCTGAGATTTTTATTTTTTGTTTCATCTTAGGGAGACACATGTTGGGATGGGAATGAATATTTGCCCTTTCACACAAAGTGTTGCATCACACAAATGAAAAACTCCTGTTCCTCGTTTTAAAGATCATAATATAGGGAGGCATAATTTGGACCTTCTGGACTTTATTTTTCATTCTTAAACAATTGCACTATTAAAACAATATTAATGTGCTGTTGTTTGAACTCCTGTATAATTATGGTTTGGCACAAGTGCTTCATTCCTAGAAATTGATGTGGTGATGTTACTGGGAATATGTGATATGTAAAAACTCAGAGTGCAAAAGGAAGTGAATGGGGAATTCCACATTTTGTAGATTTCTTTAGCAGTTTCGTTCTTGAATGGAAGGCTTTATTAATGTAAAATATCAAGTAATGATGAAAAGCACCAGAGGATGAATTTATAGAAAGTCATATGTAACTGTTTTTCCTTTGGAGTATGTCCTTGTGTTTTCTCTCCTCTGTCTAGTGCTGAATTTGCTAAGAAAATTTTAGTACTTACAGTAACCCATCATACCCATAACACATAATACTGGGGGAAGGTGCGGTGGATCTGCACCTGTGGCTGCAAGGTTCCCAGTTTGTATCCCATGGCTGGCAGAGGAATCCTTCTCCGTTGGGTCCCTAAGCAAGGCCCTTAGCCCCAGCTGCTCCAGGGGCGCCGTATAAATGGCTGACCCTGTGCTCTGACCCCAAGCTTCTCTCCCTGTCTGTGTCTCATGGAGACCAAGTTGGGGATGTGAAAAAGACAAATTCCTAATACAAGAAATTGTATATGGCTAATAAAGTGATCTTAGATTATATATTTGAGTAAACAGAAGCCAACCAGGCTGGCTTTTACTGCACTATGCAGAAATGCTGTTTAATAATAATTCCTTACAGTTATATAGCGCTTTTCTGGACACTCCACTCAAAACGCTTTACAGGTAACAGGGAGTCTCCTCCACCGCCACCATTGTGTAGCCCCACCTCAGTGATGAAAGAGCAGCTAAAGTGCGCCATAACACTCATCACACATCATCAACCAGTTCATATGGACACTGGGGTTAACACTCCTACTCTTTTTCGAGAAATGTGCTGGAATTTTTAATGATCATGGAGAGTCATGACCTTGGTTTAAGTCTCATCTGAAAGATAGCGCCTTTTTTTTTAGTATAGTGTCTGCATCACTGTCCTGGCCAGGGTGACAACTGCAGAGTTCCACTGGGTTGCAGGGTACTGGCAAATAATAAGATGACAGCGAAGAAGATATTAAGATGTCCTTCAGTTGGTGAGAACATTGTGGTGCAATTTGGGCTGTGAAATATTTAAGCTCGTAGCAGACCTGCTTAAGAAAGGGATGCAGTTAGAGCTGACCTGCCACTAGTGGCCACTTCCTCCTCCTTGTAGCTTCTTCCTCCTATTCTTGTAAATAGCTACAGAGTGGGTGTTAATGTGGTAATTGATCACATTAGTGGGAAATGCTGATCATTCCTGATCATTCACATGTAGCTATAATTAAGTTTGTGTTTGGTATTTGGAAATTTGGCCAGGACGCCGGGGTAACACCCCTACTCTTTTCGAGAAACGCCCTGGGATTTTTAATGACCACAGAGAGTCAGGACCTCAGTTTTACGTCTCATCCAAAGGACGGCGAAAGCAGTCAAATCAAGTCAGTAGCAGTCAAATCTTTGATTGCTGCTCATTTGTTTAAAAATATGGGTTGTCTCCCTGACCGATTGTTTTATTATTCCATAAGGAAGCATTCGTTTTCTGAAGCTTAGAAAATGACATCTGTGTGGTTTATATTGAGATGTTTCCTGTGTTTGGATCAGGCTAAAGTGTGTGCTGCATGGCAGTAACACTTAAACTACTGTATTTATTTTACAGGAAACCTGTCTTGGAATTGAGTCTATAGCAGCCAGTCCTTCAAAATTCCCTCTTCCTGCAGTGCTGGTCACATTAAATCAACAGTTTTTCTGGGGCTTGAGGTCCGCTGTGTGTAAGAGATTTTACCATACCATACCTTTCAAGCTTCAGTCACAATGATGTGTAGATGTTAGAGCCTTTCTTACTACATTATTTGTGATGTTTCAGATTTTAAGCCCCCCATAAACCAAATGTTTTGTAATTAGCTTTTGCCTTTCATATTTTACTGTAAACGTTAAGGGAGCGAAATAGAGGTTTTGGGATGGGAAAAAGAACACTACAACCCTGTTCAGCATTTGGTTGACACTGTCAGCAAGAAGAAGAGAATAAAGCTGGCTCCTTCTTCAGATGTCTTTTGAACTCTTTAGACTTTCATGTTTTTTTTTTCCTTTTCTGGGTGGTGATACGGATACTGGAGCCCTTGTTCTTTTCCAAACTATCGATTAAATGTACGTGCACACAGTGCCATCCATGTTCTCGTGAGGCAGAATTTGAGTCATGGTCACCACAGAATGATTTTATCATTGTCTGGCCTGATGTTCCCCTGGGGATAAGCAACTCAGCAAGAAAAGAGTATTCACCACAGATGGGTGATTTGTATAAAAAGTAAAGAACTGCTCGACACATCTGACAATGCATCTCTTTTTACTGACAAATCTTCAGATTTAGCTTTTTAGGAGTGAAGTAGCTGTACATTTCACTGACTTATCCTAATCTGTTTTGGGGGATTTTGTTTTGGATCTGTTTGAGTTGCATTGTTCCCTTATTCACTCTGGCACTTTTCTTGGAGAACTTTCTTAAATTCAAAACCTAAAGCGGAATACAAAAACCACGTGCGCCTCCAAATTTCCACACTTCTAAATTGTTTGATGTTCAAAGGTGGTCTTTGATGCAGTATATTTGTTCTTGATGGCTAGGGAATAAAGCACAGGTGGTTTTAAACACCCAAACACCCATTCTCAGATCATGAGAGAGTATGGAATACAAATCAGAGACTCCATTCTTACAAGTTGCTAATTATTGTGGGGAGACAAAGTGTTGAGATCTTGCTGGAAATGTTAAATCATTGCCTCTTTGTTCATTGACGCTTTGCTCGTAGTCATAATGCAAATGATTGACACCCTTTCATGGCCTCACAATACACTAGATTGTGAGCAGAGATACTGTTGTATACTGCAAATATGGATAATGTTTCCTGATGACTGACTGGAAAACATTGATTTTTCCATGTAATTATCCAAACCATTAAACTGAGTTAGGAAGCAAATGCTTCCCTTTACACAGATGATTAAATCATCAGAATCTTATTACAATCAAAAATAAATACATCAAGTGGAGCCCTGACCTCCAGTTTTGTTGATGCTTCAGTGAATAAGCACAAAAGTACTTCTCTCTGAAGCTTCCAATGACAGGGAAAAGTCTATATGCACAGAAGCTTCCTCTCATCTTCAGAGGTGCACATGATAGCAAAGAGAGCCTAAAAGTTTTTACTGCTAATGCAGTCTGCCCAGTAACCTAACAGAGCTTAAGGTTGCGTAATGTTTTTAAATCTAAGGCAAAGAGAATCAGACACAGCAGGACAGTTCAGGGTTTCAGGCTGCCTTCTGAGTTCCAGCTTTCCTCTAGCCTGTGAGAAAGGGTCTTAAGATGAACGCTCCCAACTAAAAACATCAGAAGGGTTACAAGCAAGAGGAGACCATTTGGCCTGTCTTGCTCCTTTGGTAGTTTAGAGCTAATGGGTTTCGGGTCTCTAGATTCT